AGAAAATCGGCCAGTACCTGTCCAGCAACAGGTGAGCCTGCAGCCCTGCAGGACGTGTGTGCTGAGGGGAGAGCTGTCACAGTCCTGCAATGGCTTGTGTTGGAAGAGCCATAAAGCTCGTCCCATCCCAGCCCCTGCCGTGCGCAGGGACACCTTCCGCTGTCCCAGGATGATCCATGCCCTGTCCAGCCTGCCCTGGGACACTTCCAGGGATGGGGCAACCACAGCTTCTCTGGGAACCTGTGCCAGGGGCCTCCCTGCCCTCACAGGGAAGGATTTCTTCCTAATATCCAATCTAAATCTCCCCTCCTTCAGCTAAAAGCTGTTAATATTTGGAAATAGTCTCTTCTGTTGCTTTTGTTATTACTGAGAGGAATATCAGTCATCATTTAGAATCATGAAGAGATCATGAGAAATCATGAAGATTTTTAAGATAATTACTTTCAAAAGGAAAATCCAGCTTGTTCCAGCTGAGGAAAGGTAGTGGGAGTTGCTGAGTAAAGAAGGAGTTTCCTGACAAAGAATGTGTTGTTTGTAGGGACCACAAGGCTGTTGGACGACGACCTTTCGACAAGATGGCAACGCTTCTTGCCTACCTGGGGCCTCCTGAGCACAAACCTGTGGCAGACACACATTGGTCCAGCTTAAATCTCACTAGTTCCAAGTTTGAAGAGTTTATGACGAGGTAATGAGATTATTGTGGTGGGGACACACAATGTGGGTTTCTAGACTTTGTCATGTGAGGATATGTCAGAATCATGAGAAATCATGAAGATTTCTCATAATTACTTTCAAAAGGAAAATCCAGCTTGTTCCAGCTGAGGAAAGGTAGTGGGAGTTGCTGAGTAAAGAAGGAGTTTCCTGACAAAGAATGTGTTGTTTGTAGGGACCACAAGGCTGTTGGACGACGACCTTTCGACAAGATGGCAACGCTTCTTGCCTACCTGGGGCCTCCTGAGCACAAACCTGTGGCAGACACACATTGGTCCAGCTTAAATCTCACTAGTTCCAAGTTTGAAGAGTTTATGACAAGGTAATGAGATTATTGTGGTGGGGACACACAATGTGGGTTTCTAGACTTTGTCATGTGAGGACATGTCAGTTGTTCTTAAGACTCTCTGCTATCAAGACTTCCTGTTTTAAAGGAGAGTTTAAAATGCTGAGTCTACACAAACCTTTTAGGTTTCTGAGTAGATTTTAATTAAAAAAAACTAAACTGAGTGTGAGAAATGGTGGTAACATATGTGGTTTAAGGAAGGTTCAAGATTGTGTAAACTTAATACTTTTGTTCAGAGATGAAAGTAAAGAGGGTTTGGGATTTTAAAAATTTGTTTGAAGGCAGTTGTGAAAATTGATGTCAATGTATTGCTTTTTAGGCATCAGGTACATGAGAAAGAGGAGTTCAAAGCACTGAAAACATTAAATATTTTCTACCAAGCTGGGACATCCAAAGTTGGCAATCCTGTTTTCTACTACATCGCTCGGCGGTAAGAAACCTTTCACCTTCCCAGTCTGAAATGAACCTGTCAGTCAAAGGTATCAATTGTATGTCTTGGTAACAAACAGGAGTCTGAAAATAGCTTATTTGTTACTACTTGCTGACAGTATTTTTGAGTTGTTGCCTAAACCAAAATTGTCATTTCAAAGTAATTACACTCAGGACAGGAGTCATTCCTGGAGGTGTTAAGAAAAGGGAGATCCCTGTGCTCACCCCAGGTGTGGTCAGAGGCACCTTGAGGACTGGATGAGCTGCTGGAGCTGCTCTCTGTGCTGAGGTGCTGCTGGTGAGGGTGTGCTCCAGCACTGGGGAGGCTGGTTTGGCTTGGGGGGCCGTGGAGTGCTGCCAGGGCTGGGATTTCTCCAGTCCTGGCATCAGCAGACACTTTGGGGTGCTGGCACAGCCCCTGGGGTGTTCATGGTCTGGTCACTGCTGGTGCATTCTGTGCCCCTGGGGGCAGAGCCCTGCCTGGGCTGCTGGCCTTGCTCTGTGGTTTGTGCTGGCAGTGCCACTGGGGGGGACATTTCAGTGTTGTCATGAGAGGATGCCATCAGTGGTGATCCTTTGGATGGAGTGAAAGAATACAAGATGAGGAGCACCACTTACCTTCTCTTTTGGTTTTCTGTCTTCAAAAGCCACACAACATCCATGAAACCTGCAGGTGTGCTGACAGAAGGGGCTGGCTCGAGGGCAGCCTGGATGCTTTTTCCCTCCTTTAATTTTTGTTTTTTTAGCAAGATCCCTAATGTTTAATCCCCTTACATGCACAGAGTTAGAATCAAAGGGAGTCTTTTTGAATTATCTTTAAAAAACTCTGTTTGCCACATTTTTCTTCTCCATTTTGTTCCATTAGACACAGTATTATTTCATGTCAAGTCAAACAAAATGCCTGCATTGTTATCCTGCCTTGTTCAGACAAGAAATTAGGCATACCAGTCTTTTGAATTCTCTTTAAAAAACTCTGTTTGCTTGCCACATTTTTCTTCTCCATTTTGTTCCATTAAACACAATCTTATTTCATGTCAAGTCAAACAAAATGCCTGCATTGTTATCCTGCCTTGTTCAGACAAGAAATTAGGCATACAAATGCAGAGAGTAGTGATAACCCATCTTAAAAAGTGACTGTGCCTGGCAGTGATCCGAGGCATCCTTACGTATTCTGTGCAGACCTGACATGCTTTCCTTGTTTGCAGAGCAAGAAATGGTTATTTCATCTGCAGAGAAAGAATTTCTGGAAGTAAATCAAGATAAAATTTTGCACCACATGTTTGCTAGGCCTAGCTCACCTCCCTCTTCTTTAAAAGCAGAAAAATTAATTTATCCAAAGATGCCTCACTGGGCAAAACTGTCATAGTCCAGTCAGCCAAGCATCCCTGCCTGCAGAGAGGGTGGGCAGGAGCAGATTTCTGGATGTTTTATCCAGGTATGGAATATTAATGAAAATAGTGTTGTTCTGCAACATGAGCCTTGCTGCTAGGTGAGTTATTACCATTGTCTTCAGCAGCTGCACAATTCAGGAATGCTGGCAGGGCTGCCTTTCAAAGCAGCAGGAAGGGCTTTGCTCTGGGGTGATGCTCTGGCATCATCTCTGCTCCCAGGGATGTGGCTGAGTGGAGCTTATTTGGGGTGTTTGTCTTCTGGTTCTGAGCCAGGTGTTGTGTTTTCAAGGTGTGAAATGTGGAAGAATTGTTTAGATTGGAGCTGCCAGGCTGTTTGAGGGCTTGTGGCAAGCTGGGGTTTTTTGGGGCCGGTTTTTTTTGTTTTTTTTTTTTTTTTTTTTTTTTTTTTAATAGTGGAAGATCTTGTTGCTAAGGCATTGTTGAGTCATTTTACTGATATATCTGGATCAGTTTATGTCCTTCTTGTGCTGTGAAATTTAATTCCTTCTGTCATCTATCTTCACATTTTGTTTCCTGGGCAACAACCCAGCTTCTGGAGCCAGTGCTCTTCTGTTTTTAATCCCTATCCAGTTACAAAATGATCCATAAATCAATGAGTATTGATCCTGAACTACTGCCATTAGGTTTTAAGGCTGATCCCAATCTAATTAATAGGAATAAAACCTCTGAGTTATTGCAGCAGACCGCAGCAATCCCCACAGCAATTTTACCCCTTCCAGGGCAAGTACACAGCTATTAGAGGTGTGCCAGAGCTTTTCTGGGTATTTAGAATATTGCCCTGAAATGCTGATTAGTTGTTTTTGATACCAGTTTCACCGAGAACAGAATATTTTGTGTTTCTGGAGGTCTGAGTGCGCGGTGTGTTTACAAAGCCCGGCCCTGGGGCTTAGCTCAGAGCGGCTGCGCAGTTGCCCAGCAACAAGTGCTCGACTCCCACACTTCTGCCTCCTCCCTGCTGCCTTATCACTCATTCGTATTCCAGAAAAATACCAGCCAGCCCGAGTTCCAGTGTGCCTTTCTGAAAGCAGTCTGAGCAGGCAGCCCTGGTGCTGCGGCAGCTCAGGCAGGGTTTGGGAGGGAGCAGAGCCCTGGCGTGCCCTGGTCCAGCTCACTTCATAGCCAGCTGTGGGTCTGGGATCCAGCTCCCCAGGAAACCACAGAGCCCCATTTCCACTTCCAGGCTTTTCTTAGCACGCTGAGGAGTTTGGAGGCTGGATAGCAAGTTCTTCAGGGTGCTGTTGCAGTTTGCCCCAGATAACCTCTGGAAAGCAATGTTTTCCTGTTGCTGGTCATCAGATTGTCTCATTATGGGTGAAACATTCTCAGGGCCTTTAAAGTCAATTCCCTGTAGGTTTTTTTAATGCAATAGAATTTGTCATCCTGTACTGATTCTGCAGCAAAGACGCAGGCAGTATTTCCTGTAATTTCCTCAAATCAAGCAGTTTAGCCACAGCACCTCATTTAGTGAGGAGTCCTGCCTTGGAAGCCCAGCTGCTCCCACTGTGTGGGATGAGGCCGTGAGAATGATGCAGTTCTGGGAATTGCTGAGTTCTGAGCATGGGAAATAGGTTGGTGCTGTGCTGCAGTCAGTCAGCACTTAGCAAACCCAGGGAGTGTCCTGGAGAGTGGCAGCAGGGACTTCTTTGGTGTTTCTAAGTTCTAAAGAGTAGGAAGGGGAAGGATGGTCACAGTGTTGTGTCATCTCATCAATTTATTGCTAAACAATATTAGAGATACATCAGTATCTGAATAGTGCAATTTAGTATAGCTATAATTTCCCCCATAAGACATGACAATGAAGCCAAATGTCTGCTTTAAACAGGTTTGTATAATACAATGCTCTCTATTTATTCCTTTTACTCTGCTTATTAGAAAAGAGGCACAGTCGCTAGTTCAGTTCAATACAAACATAACTTTATTTTTACTTAAATGCCAATGAAATAACTGTACAAATCCATTGTGTAACATTTACTGTTAGAAATTAAAACACGTTTCCGGTTATAGAAATACTGTTCACAATTGGAAAGTTGTCATTTCTGTGATACCAGTAGTTGTAAATGATCTACAGCCCCCACTGTACTGACACCTTAGAAGAAACAGGTAGAGGACTCCAGTCTTGGTTGTGAGGTTTTCTGGGTTTTGCAGCACCTTCATGCTACAATAACTGGAAATTAAATGGCCTGGAATGAATGGAAAACATTGTATAAGATCTGTAATATTAAGTGGATAATACTTTTTCAGTTAACTTGTTCTTCGGTTTTCATTTCATGCTGTTTGCAAAACTTCATCTGTAGTATATCAGGTACCTGTGCCATAATTTAAATAATTTTCCTAGAGTGGACAGAACCATGCGTGCAGCTATTTCTACTGGCTGACGGTGCAGATGTGGAGGAGAAGAGCATCCATGCTCGCCCTTAGGAAGCAGGGATTTGGGCATGTTCAGTGCCATGGACTGGATTCATTCTCTTTGGAGTCACAAGAGTCAGGAACGTTTCGATGACAGCTTACCAGCTAACTGCTTAATTGATTTGTTACATGACTTGTGTTAGAAATCGGCTGATATTTCATTTTACTGGTAGTAGTTTGCTACGTTCTGGCTGATTTGTGGTATTCTTTTAAGCAGAACATATTAACATTTCAGGATGTCACTTGACATAAAGTCAAGGGCTTCCAGGTCATTAATTTGGGTAGGTAACTCCTTTGTGTTTGACAGTGACATGGCATTGAACATCTGGCATTTTTCTCTACTTTTATCTTTTTTTTTCTTCTTTTTTTTTCTTTTTTTAATATGGAGAAAGCAATAACTTGCCTGCAGTGTCTAAGTCAAGCCAGAGCAGAAGGATACTGGCCCCTACCACTGTCCCATGCTGAAGCTGGACCACGTTGCCATCTCAGTTTACACCCTCTTAGCAGACATCTTGGCATTGTCTTATTTAATTCCTAAATTCAAAACTGTTGTTCTTCATATTTAAGATACTCTAATACATATGAAGCAAATGTAGATATACATGCTAGCGATTTTGCTCAGGAATAACTTCTGATTAGTGAAACAGTTCAGTTTAGTTCCTTTATTTTTTCCCTTTCTTTTGCATGTCATCATAACTTACAAAGAATCTGCTGCTATATTACAGGAATTGCTCACTGGCAAGTCAAGCAAGACAATGCAGATATGATACAGGCCTTCTGTTTTTTTCCAGTTGTTCAATGACAAAATCATACGTAAAATCAGTACTTAAAATTCCGATGTGTTTATTCTGTGCAAGTAAAATGAAAAATTTAAATACAAAATAAGCACATTTTTAAAAACAAAATAATAGATTAGTTGTACTCAATTAAGACATATGAAAATAAGTAGCAGCTTAGTATCAAGACATTAGTGTGCGCGTCTTTAAGAACCGTTACTTTCTTCAGATCAGAGTCAGGACTTTGAATTTCTTTCATTCATTATTTCAGCTGGGCGTGTTAACTCCAGCTGTTATCACAGGAATAACCTCAGCAATTTCCCCGGGGTGCAAGGCCTCAGTCCATAGCCAGGGCCAGGGCGTGCAGCAGCGGCAGACAGAGCAGCCCCACCTGCCAGCGGCTGGCGCGGGAGGGCACGCGCGCGCTCGGCGCGGCCTCCTCCTTCCTTAAGGTAGCGGTTGTGCTTTGAGGCATCTTGGAGTAGTTTGTTGGCATTCCACTGGTGATGCTTAAAGTCACGGGAGTGGTGGAGGATCCCGTGGCCGGGGCCAGGCTGGCGTTGCCCTGGCCGGAGTCCTGGACGAGGATTGTGCGAGTGGCCGCGGCCTCCTGGGGGCCGTCGGGGGTGCCGGGGAACGGAGCCGGGTGGCTTTGGGTGGCCAAGGGAGGGACTTCCTTGGCTTTAAATTGTTTGTGCGTTTTGGTCACTTCGGTGGGCTCGGGCGCCGCGGCGGGAGCCTCCCTGTCCGCTGCCTTGGTGCCTTTGATCATGGGGCTGGAGTCCAGGGCCGTGGGCAGGGCCGGGGCTGGCGCGGTGCTCGCCCAGGGCCAGGGCTGCTCAGCACAGGGAGCCCCCACAACACGGGCAGCTGTGCCCTGCACCCACTGCAGCACGTAAGGGATGTTTTGGTTATCGCTGCAGGACCAGGGGTTGTTGTACAGAGTTATTACCTGCAGCTGGGACAGCTGGTCGAAAGCTTTGTCAGGAATGTGTGAGAACTTGTTGTTGTGCAGGTAGAGGCTTGTGAGGTGTTGCAGTCTCACCAGTGTTCCTGGGAGTATCTGGGACAAGAAGTTATTGGATAGATCCACTGTCTCTATGTTGTAGGGCATATTGGTTGGAACTGTCCAAAGTTTGTTGCTGCTGAGATTGAGAAACTTGAGACTGCTCAGTGTGTTGTTGATCAGGACAGCTCTTTCCACCATATTCCTGGAAATATCGAGCACTCTAAGATTCCACTGGTAAGCTGTATCAAGTTTCTGAAGAACTTTAATGTTGTTGTTTGTGGCATATAATTCCCATAAGGACTTGGGCAGATGAGCGGGAACATTCTTGAGCCAATTATTTGAAATATCAAGGGTCCTCAGATTGGTGAACCTCGTTAGCTGATGATCGAGATCTACAAACTGGTTAAAGGACAGATTTAAATATGTAAGGTTGTCTTGAAGTCCCTGGGGCAGTACAGTTAAGTTTCTGCCTGAACAGTCCACATTCCTGTCGTTTCCTGAGCACTTACAGCTAGAAGGACAGATACCCAAACCAGTGGGTATGAAAACCAGAAGGACCAGCAGACAGGTAGATGTGTTCAATATCTGGTATTCCATTGTTGCCTGGAAATAAATACACCAAAACGACACCCTTTAAATCCATGTAATACATTTTATCTCTGTATAAGGGTTGTCTTGGCAATGGCCACTTGCAGGAGAAATTAAGTAAAAATATCAATAACCCCCTTTGTGGCACGGTCCTTTTTAGAATTGTTCAAGAGAGACTTCACAAAGCATCCCTTCAGCCTGTCATGTTGTCTGGCAGAATGAGACTTGTTTTTTTCATCTCCCTTTCCCCCTCCAGCTCAAATGAGGGCTTTCTTCCGAAAACGCAAGTCTCTTCCAAACGTTATACAATGTCTGCTTCTTGTTTTTAGTGATTTCAAGCCTATATTATGTTTGGAATAATGTGTTCATTTATAGAGGATGAAAAAATGGCTGTCAACTGGATCTTCACAAATCTCTGCAGTAATGTAGCAGTCCCCCCCATCCAGGCATGCTGTTTGCTTAAATAAATTGCTTAAAATACATCGTAGGAATTTAGCTTGAGCCCCAAATTCCAGTGTTCATGCCAACATGCACTGTAGCATTTTTTCCTCCTTACAGTGTTAATTACGATCTCAGAGCTGGAAACACATGTTTAGAACCCGAGTTACCGTTAGGAAGAAATCTCTGACACTGCAGCAAATTTCTGGTGCAAGCATCTGTCATCAGCTCCTAATTCCATTCCCGTTTCCATCTCTGATTCGGTAGTAGGATTTTGTGAGTAAAATCAAAAAGCACAAACTTACCCTGGTGTCCTGCAGTATCAGCACATCGTTTCTGTGATGGATTGGAGCTTAGAGGTCGCCTTGTTCTGGAGAGCAGCTCCGGAGGCTGCCGGGGGCTGTGCTCGTCTCAGCTGCATCGTACGGCTGCGCCCGGCTCCGCAACCACCTGATCCTGTGGGCACTGCAGAGCCGGCCCCGAGCCCTGGCAGGACCTGCCGGGCTGGGCAGGGCAGGAGTGCCCTCTCGCAGCCCTGCCGACCGCGCTGCCTCCCGGCCGGGGCTGCCTGCCCGCGCTGGGCTCCGCCGCACGCCGGGCTGCCTCCCCACGGCGCGTTCCTGCGCGTTACCTTGGCTGCTTTGTGCCTTCTCCTAGCCTCTCCTCCTGTGCTGGAGGTTAATGTGAATTTAGGCTTTCTAGCTTAAGCTTTTTAAAGCTGCACTGCCAGAATATGTTTCCATAATTTTAAAATACTGTTTTCTGCTCCTCGGATCAGGCTGTCGCTGTGTTGTCAGGTGTATTATAGCTCAGCTTGGAGGATTTTACAGATTTCTGCAGGAAATCTTGATCTGATTTTCTCAAAGCAATATGAGAGTGAGAGTGTTTATAATGTTTTGTTTATAGTGCTGTTAATTTTAACAGGCTGTCATGTGAACGAGCCTTACAAAAGTCTTTGTATAATTGTAATGCTATTCTTTAGGCATACCCAGTCATACGGCTTATGTAAACAGTAATGAAAATTAAAAATACATTTTCCTTTGGCCATTGTATGCACAGCAGCCTGGAATTGCATTTGGATGATGTACTACTCTTTATTAGTGATAGTTAGAAAATTCTGAAGTTTATGGTGTGCAAATCTTTGTTCTGTGCTCCATCCACAAATCTATTCCCTCCTCAAGTGAGCTGCAAACTCTACCATTTTGAAGAGCTCTCATGGAAAACTAGCTTTGGCATCTAGCAGCTTCTTTGTATAAATATTCAATACTGGTAAAAAAAAAATTACTTCTGATACCAGCCTGCTGCTGCCCAGCCAAGGCTGGTGTGGGGGAGATGAGCTGTGCTGGTACTCAGGGCCCAGAGAGGAGCATGCAAAGCACTGGGACACCAGAGCTCCAAGGAGTGAATCTAGCATCCATGAACCATTAAATGAGTTAGTATTAGAAGCTGAGTGCATGCTGTATCTAAGCAAACATTCAGGTGGGCTTTAAGTGACCAAAACGTGTTTGACTGAGAAAGCTTTATTAAAATGTCCTGGAAGTGACTGCATCCACTTGCACAGCCCAGTGGAGCAAACCCCAGTGTGAAGCCGAGTCCCTCTGACGTGGGGCTGTCTGTGACATCTCCACGTGTGTGTTACCTGTGTCTGGCCCTGCTGGCACACACAGCTGTGTACTCTGCCTTCTGGAGTCTCTAGTTACAGGTGATGACTGGCACAATTTGTTTTGTAGTCAGAAATTTGCTTCAGGCAGAAGCAGGTTGTTCTCTCTTGTGAAAGCCGAAGTTGGGAAACACCAGGGAAATGTCAAGGAAATGCTGGGGCCTCACCGTTCTTGCCTGTGTCAACTTCTCCTTTTTTACTTTCTTGAAAATTACTTGATTTAAGAAAGATGTAGAGTATTCTGGAAATTAATTTGGCAGTCTACAAAGGGTGTTCTGGCTGGGGCAGTGTTTCATGGATCTCCTGGATCAGTAGCTCAGGTGGTGAGGGCTGCGGTTCCTCTGCTTCCAGGTGAAGTGCCGAGTGCTTGCTGGGGTCCGAGCTGGGCTCCTCAGCGGGTTCCCTGAGCCAGTCGGGGGGTGGTGGCAGGTCAGAGCACTCGGGTGGAGTGTCTGGGGGAGGACAGGAGTCAGCTGCAGCGGTGGCCGGCTCCTGCTCCGAGGCAGGGGCAGGGGCTGGGGCTGAGCCAGCTCCGGAGCAGCCCGTGGCCGGCGGAGGCGGCTGCCCGTTCTCGGTAGTGGGAGTGTGCTGGGGTGGGTTCTCTGAGACACTCGGGTCCTCCTGCAAGTTTGTGCCTTGTTTCAGTCTCCAAGGCAGCATGAATAAGACTGAAGAACGCTTGGTGCCGGGGTCAGGGTCCATGAAGAGGTCTGACGTGTCCCCATCCACGAAGGGCGACCGGCCTGCCCAGTGGCACTGGGCCGGAGGAGGCCTCACGCAGCATTTCCACAGGAGAATTACGATAATTGCCAGCATCATCCCAATCAAAATGCTGCCAAGGAGCAGCGCTGCCACCCAGCTGCCGTCCCCAGCTTCCTCCTCCCCTGGGAAGGCCTGGGGTTCCGTGGCAGCCCGGGCTCTGTCGGACCGGTGTGGGGTGGGCACAGCTGCCTGCAGCTGGTAGAGCGGGGGGCGGTCTGCTCTCGGGCTCGTGGCAGTGCTGCACGTGTGGCTTTCAGTCCTGGCAGCGTGCTGAGGTGCTGCTGCACAAAGGCAGCTCCAGATTTCCCCACAGAAGAGAACCAGCATGACCTGCTTGCTGGCCATTTCCCTCCAGCCTCTTCACAAGGGTCCTCTGCTGTTGCAGGGAAGAAGAACATGGTAACTCATAGACTGTATTTCTGCACTTTACTGCCACCAGGCAGTTCTGTGTTAATAACATCAGGCTGAAAATAACGGTCTCCCCAACATTTCACATTTCAAGCCTGTTCCCATCTGCATGATCAGCAGGTTTGGCACTGGCTTTACGAATAACAGCAGATTTTCAGCATTATGGGTCATATTAATAAAGTGGCTTGTTTGAAGGTAATGGCTTATTATCATCTTTTTTTCACCTTATCAGAAAAAGCAGATTGGCAGAGCAGTCCTCACAAGGTTTCAAAATAACATTTATCTATCATGTAACTGGTTATGGACCTGGGACAAACTCTGCAGCATTGACAGACAGGGTTGTCAGGAGTGAAGAAGTGGCTTGTTGTGATATAAGCTGAGACAGAAGTAAAAGGCTCTTTACAATTCTCTTAAACTTTTATTTCCTGTTCTTATATTTGTTCAGCATAGCACAATATTTAAAAGTTTTCCAAGTACTTATGCTATAATGACACAGCATTCTAATGGTAAAGTGTTTTATAAATAAATTCCTGCATGCAGATTGTGCAAATGTTGAGTTGTTGGCATGAAACAGACTTTTTTTTCCTGTACTGATTAGAGTTCAGCTCTCTAAATGTCTCCATATGAAGTAAATTGTATAAAATTCATCCCCTACACAGCTCTTTTCCTTCTGAAGTCACTTTCATGCAATTTGAGCTAATTCATTAGTTACTATAGTGCTAGTCCTGTGAAGCTATTTCTGGAAAGTTAATATGCATGAGTCTTTATGGGTTTACAAATACACAAAATTAAATTTTAAATGCAGCAGTGTAAACACACATGAGGAGCAAGTTAATGACTAGAGAACATCGTGATCTAAACTCTGACAGGTTTGTAATGGGTTAAAATGATTCTGTTCAGTTTTTATCCTGCTCCCCTCTTCTCAAAACAGGCTCAGTACTTGAAAGTGATCCTTACCTGCACATTTACGTTCTCCTCTGTGGTTGGAAGGCTCAGGAGGGCTGTGTGTGCTCGGAGCAGGCAGGGGAAAATGGCTCTTTTCATGCAGAAGTTTGCACAGAGGGAGGAAGTTGCCAACGCCGGCAGGAAGCGTCCGCGCCGAGCAGCGCGGGGCTCTTATCTGGGGATCCCGTGTCCCAGGGAACCTCTGCTCTGCCCGCCTGCTGGCTTCTGGGCAAGGTGTTTGTGGCTCCTGCCACATCAGGCACCCGTGTGTGCTCACGTGGACATTCCCAAATACCTGTTTGCCTGTCTCTGTAGAAAACAGTTACGGCTTCTTCTGTGCGAATCAAAACTCGGCAAGTTTGGGCTGGATTTGAGTTGCTGATGCAATTCAGTGGTGGGTTTGCTGTGCTCTCAGGGTTATTAGTGGGAAACCACCCCTGGGTTCCTTGGTGAATCATGGAGAGCTGTGTGGTCACGGGATGCTGGCTGCTCACACATCCTGTCTTGTGTAGCTGCATCGAGAGGCAGAGGGCAAAATCTGATTTCACCCTCAGCCTGTCCCTCCTGGCCTGGTTGTTTTTGTGTGTGGACAGCGTTGCGACCTGCTGCCATCACTGCTGGAGGAAGGGCTGTGCTCTGAGCAGCTGCTTCCCCAGTCTGTCCCTGTCCCTGCCATGCAGTGTAACCCAAGCTGCTCTCTTTGGTCCCTTGGAGCATTTTTGACTGGAAAGGCTGCGTGGCGGAAAGAAACCCACAGCAAATACGTCCTCATGGCACTTTGCAATTGTGTTCTGCCAGTAGCTACTGACAGATTCCTCTGCAGCCCTTCCTGTTGTGCCTCTCTGGCTGCACTGCTTCTCTCTGACACTGCCTGCTCCTGCAGCACACACATCCTGATCCCATGCTCACACCAGCTCGCTGTTTCTCATCCGATTTCTTTGTCTCCTCCCCATTCTCCTCAACCCCCACAGCTGATTCCCAGTTCTAGGTGAAGCATGCAAACTCCTTCCAGCTTTATTTTCCTCACTACACAGCCCACCTTTGAGCCTGGCAGTTGGATTTTTTGAGCTCTGTCCTGGCTGCTATGGTGCTGTTGTCCTGCCTCTGCTGCTGCTGTGTCTGCCCTGCCAGCCAAGCTAATGGGTGATCTAGTGGAACTGGGGTGGGGGATTCAGTCATCCTGCTCCTCTCAAACTCCTACAACCATCTTATGTGTCACAGCTGTTGGTTGCAGCTGCACAGGATGTTTGGAGCTTTGGCACTGTGCAGTCTCAGCACTTGTAACCGCAGTGCAACAGAGCTTCTTCAGCCCGAGGAGCAGCCTGGGGAAAGCTGCTCAGGTTTCCTTAAAAGAGCAAAGCTCTGCTGCAGGGAGAGCAGCCACGGGCACCTCCCTGGAATTGTGGGAAGGTCAGGTCTCTGAGAATAAAGAAACTAAAAGTTGTTGTGGTTGAAAGGAATTCCTGGCATGTTCTAGCTGGTGTCAGGAGAAAGTGGAGTGTTTCCATGATGCAGGAAATCACAGCGAGTCATCAGAGACCTTTAGTGAGCTCAGCCAATGTTCCAGGAATAAAACATTCCAGAATGCCTGCTCATATTTTTTTCTAACATTTTGACTTAGAGAAATAGTATCACGTAATTCATTTAAAAACTGATATTGCGAGTTTATTGAAGACAACAAATTGAACAAGTTCTCATATTCTAGCAAATACTACAGACCTCATCTATTCATAGTCAACATTGAAACACAATAAATATGGTTCCAGTCTGCTTCAAAAGTAATTAAGCTGCTTTAAGAAGTTCTTGATGGAAAATCCAAAAGGGCATTTTGAGAGGGACTAGATTCTGCATTAGTGGTTGAATCAGAGTTGTGACTAATGTATGGTTTCCTTTGAAAAGCAATTTGGTTATGCCTGTGCAGCATCTTAGTGTTCAGAGTGTTGATCAGACTGGCAGTCTGTTCCTTGTTCCCCTCTGTGCTCTTTGAGCATGGGCAGATTCTGTCCTTTTGGTTTATCCTGTTCAGCTCCTGTCATCCTGATTTCTGGTCAAAGGAGTAAAACCAGTGTTGACACTACTTACAGAAAGCTGTTTAACACAGTTTTACTGCCCTCTGGATTCACACATGGCTGCAGCATTCCCACTGGCATAAATGGAAAAGCTCTAAAATCTGGATTTAGCTTTCTGGGTGTGGGGGGGTGGAAATTCTTGCTGTTACTTGAAATACAAGTTTTTGCCTTATGTTAATGGTGTAACAAAGGCAAAAGATGAATTTTTACCTGAGTGTGAATTAAATCTCAACTACAAAATTGGTTAAAGTGGGTTTGTGTGACTGGGATGGTTCTTTGCTTTCTTGCCCATTATCTGCTGCTTTGGTGAGTTTCTCAGTACTTTCATCTTCAGTTTTCCTTTGGCTCACAGCATCCCTCCCTGATACCAGCTCCTGCATTATCAGCTCGGTTCCACCTGTCTCCTTGGGCATCCTCTGCCACGTTCCTGCTGCTGTGGGCCACAAGCTGTTGGTGGCCAGGAGGTCACCATTGCTCCTGGGCCTGCGCTTGCCCTGCTGGGCTCTTTTGAGATAGGAGATTTTGTTGGCTACTACGACTGTGGACAGAAACAGGGAGATGCAGAGGAGCACAAGAACTGCAATGACAATGAAGCAAATCAGTATGAGAGACTTATTGTCTTCACAGGTTTCTTTGGTCGTTGGGCTCTTGGGTTTGCTGCTTTTCTCTAATCCTCCCGTGGTGGAAACTGCACTTGGGGTAGGGGAAATCAAATTTTGAGTCATTCTGGAGGAGAAGGATGGCAGAGTACTTCGTATTTTGGCACGGGAAGATGTTGGATTTTGGGCCAGTGTGGAGGAGAAGGATGGCAGGGTACTTTGCATTTCAAAAGTAGTTGTTTGGCTGCTGAAATTGAGGCTCAGAGGAGACTTTGTGCTTGCTTCTGTCCTCTTCTGACTCCTGCTGAGGTTTTGGCTGATGGGACTCCAGGTTTCTTCTCTGAGGTGAGGGTAGCCTGTGTGGTTTGCACTGGTTTGCAGCCCCAGGGAGAAGATGATCATGACTGGGAAAGCCAGGTGTGGGTTACTGCATCTCTTTGTCTGCATCTTCCTGTTGAGTCCCCTGCAAATATACAAGTTGTGGTGCTAGTTTAGCAGAGGCTGGTTCTTAGAGGTTTGGAGTGGACTTCTCAGGGAACAGCAGGATTCTTGATGAAAAATACATGGCCTCATTTTGGGGGGATGTAGGAGGACGAGTTCAAGTGCCCAGATTGTGAAAGAATAGATTGTCTCAAACAGTTTGAGGTTATAGAAAACATACAAAGATCGAGAAAGAACATGGAGCAAAGAGAAAAAGAGAAGTGTTTCCTTCTGGGGGCTTCATGATGTCAGGGCAGACTCGGGGAGTTCCTTCTCTCCGAAGCTGCCCAGTTACACCCAGCCATCACTTCTGCTTTACACAGAGCCCTGTGGAGCTTACACATCACTGCCTGCTTCTCAGCTCCCTGAATTCCCCTGGGGCAGGCAGGGGAACCCTGCAGGGAACACATGGGCAAGGGAAAAAGTGGAACCCAGAATGTTCCTGTAAGTGACAGCAATAACTTCATGTGAACTGGGTGTAGTTCCTAGCACAGTCTGGGGTGCTTTAAAATGCCCAAGAAAATCTTTATTCTCTTGGTTTTCTGCTTTTTTGTACAAAAAGCTCTTTATCACAAATGTACTTCTTGTCTTTTTCTCTCTGCAGATTGTGACATTTTCTTTAAAACACCACTGATAATTATGCAAATGAGAGTAACCATTCATATGTTCTGTTTCACATTTGTGTGGTATTCAAATCTGTACCTGTTGAATTTTTCTGGAGGGTAGGAATGTGAGAGTGGGGTTGGTCTGATATGAAGATAATATTAATTATCTCAAATTAGCAGTGACAGATCAGCCAAGTGGTGGCCCAGGCAGTGCTGCTGCTTGGGCCAGGCTGCTCCTGACCTTCCCAGGGCAAGGCTGTGTCCCACCAGAGTCTGTCTTCTGTCTCTGGCAGCAGATCAAAGTGTTTCCTTTGAGTGTTACACACTCTGCCTGGTGCAAATTGAAATGCTGCCTACCTTTGAGTGTTACACACTCTGCCTGGTGCAAATTGAAATGCTGCAGGGAGTGACCAAAAGTCACTGTTAATTTTGTGGTCGTTCTTGAAAAAATGTGTTTGTTGCCTGTAAAGGTAGCAAAGTGTATTTGTGTGTGTGTAGATATGAAGCATCAGAGAAGTGATGTTCCTGGTGTGTGACCAGGTGAAGGGAAGGCAGCAAAGGTAACAAAGCATATTTGTGTGTGTGTGTAAATATGAAGCATCAGAGAAGTGATGTTCCTGGTGTGTGACCAGGTGAAGGGAAGGCAGGGATACCCCTGGTGTGTGAGGGGATCTCTCCTTACCCAACAAGGAAACAACAAAAGATCTGTCTATAACTTTGCAGTTCACCTATAACATAAAATCGTCCTCCATCCTGAGCTTAATCCTGTTTATTCTGTTTCAACTAGAAACCATCTTAGTCTTAGACTACAGCTGAGGTAGGATTTTTGTTTGAGTATGGTGGAAGTCACCTGGATGATTCCTTCTATCATACTTTGAAAAGGAAAAGGAAAGCAAAGCCAGCAAAGCTTGGGGTTTTTAACATTTGGGCTGTTTAGAGCAGGACAGGCAGAGCCAGCCCAGCTCCCCTGCAGCGTTCCTGTCGTGCCAGGGTGCAGCTCCCAGCTCTGCCCAGGCACACCGAGCCCAGTGTTCCTTGTGGCCTCCAGACCAGATGTGCTTTCCTTAAAAACAGCGGGCTCATCGTGTGAAGGGCTGCTCTTGAAACCATGGGAGAAAGGAACTGATCTTTAAAGAGCTGGTTTTCTTTTTAGCTCAACCCTTTGTGTCTGGTATTGACAGGGTCTCAGTACCCAGCGAGATCTGCACTGCAAGGACAACAGAGCCAAGAAGTGACTGTCACTGTTAATTCCTCAGTCTGACTGTGAATAACCTTTAACATGATGAAAAATACAGTATATCAGCTTCCCTGATTCAGCTGGAGATACTATTTCTACAGTTATTTACTGTATTTTAATTACTCAAGCTTCTGTAAAAATACTTTTTCATATATTTTTCTACAAAATGTAAGAAACTTTGAAGTACAACTTAAAATAGGAGAAGGAAAATGTGTCCTTACCTTGCCAAGATGCAGTCAACAGAGCATGGATGTTTCAGATATTTAGTCCTTTGACAATAAGATTTCTTGGTGCATATATTTGCTCCTGGGATGCAGACAACCATCAGTGTACAGCCGGGAGATTTGGGCAGTGCTGGTGTTTTTTAGG